CAATCGCTTACAAGATAATAGATATAAGTATAAACATGAATAAGAATATAGGAAATAGGTATGAATAAATGGGGATAATAGGACAGGGATGGTAGGCATGATGGTGCACTTACAGACCTCTTAGGAATGGGATGAGGGCAATAGTGGATAGTTTGAGGTTAAAGGAGTGGGGGTTAGAGGTTAACAACAGAGTCAAGTGGTGCATTCCTGGCATTGACCACTCTGTTGCTGAAGCCGTACTTTCTGCAATCAAGTTTGAAGAGGTTTACATTGAGTTTGTATCTGTTGTGTGCTCTTGTATTGTTGTGGTTGAAGCTGAAGTAGTCATTGACTGGTAGGACATTTTAGCAGATAATTTTGTGTGCTACGCTTAAGTCTAACCGTAGGTGGCGTAGTTCATTATTGGCATACTGTAATCGCTAAACACTATGAGCTAAGCAGCAATCTCAATACAGATTCTATAGGCAATATTACAATATTTAGATAACTTAAAAAGATACATGGTCCTTATTGGACAAAAGACATTGAAAGTAGAATATGTGAATGCCTGGAAAATTAATGGGCATATATATTGTGCTTAGGAATCCTTATAAAATTAGTGTATAAGAAGAAATATGTTACAGCTTCTACAGGTACCAGGCCTTTGAGTTAGTGCAGATACGAAGCACAAACCATGAGTGCTAACATATTTATTGTAAGGTTAAAATAACTGAATTTTGCAAGTCTGAAAGTTCTCCCCTTTCTTCTTGATAAACTAGAGAGAGTCTTCTTTGAGATATTTCCCATACTCCTTTTTCTTCTATGGGCTGAAATCCCTTTGCCAAGTTGTCTAGATTACTGCTCTTTCTCCTGACTCCCAAACAAGGTCATTCCTACATACCATTACAATAGAGCTCTCCTTAATTGGGCAAAGCCAACTTTCATACAGAAAGTCCCAAAGGTCCTTTTTCATGAGGCAACTGGACTTTCTGGTTTTTCTTTGAAGAAGCTTCTTGGATGAGAAGCAGGCAATGGCAAACCACTTCAGAAAACCTTACCAAGAAAACTTCAGGGACTTGTCCAGGAGTCAAAATCTGATGTGGGCAGACAGAGAACTATTTGATCTGTTCATTCTCAGACTTGTCTTGTTTCTTTCTTGTTACCTATATTACACAATGGAGGAAGCTCTTATCCATGTGGGAAATATTTTATCAGTGTGATCAACATCCTCTGCATTTTGATTCTGGGACTAGCTTTAAGAGATGTAGCTTAAAATACAGAATAATATAGTTGGAAGGGACCTTGGAGGTCTAATCCAACCCCTGATCAAGCAGGAGACCCTACATCATTTCAGACAAGTGGCTATCCAGTCTCTTCTTAAAAATTTCCAGTGATGAAGCATCCACAACTTCTGGAGGCAAGTTGTTCCACTGATTAATTGTTTTGTCAGGAAATTTATCCTTAGTTCTAGGTGGAATCTCTCCTTGATTAGTTCCCATCCATTGTTTCTTGTCCTGTCTTCAGGTGCTTTGGAGAATAGCTTGACTCCCTCTTCTTTGTGGCAGCCCCTTAGATATTGCAATGCTATCATGTCACCCCTAGTCCTTCTTTTCTCTATACTAGTCATACTCAATTCAAATACATAAAATGAATTTGTGCTAAGAGATTCTTACTAATGTGTTTTCAAGGAAAATCAATTTATTCTGCCTCCCATGCCAATACATGTGGGTGTGTTTCTGTGTATGTGTTCACATAATCATTTCATTATTTACTGCCACTCCTTGAATAAAACTAAATGACTATCCACTTGAAAAATCAAAGACATGTATATTCGGGCAATTCAAACAGGATCTCTTGCATTATTTGACGGTTGTTGTTTTTCTGCATTTTGATGCAGCAACAAGAATAGCATCAATCAAAAAGTGAAAGGGAGAAAATCCACAGGGCACTTCAGAATAGGACATGTCAGCAGTGGGATAATTGGTGCTAGGTGGGGGAAATTATTGTCTAGAATGTCCTCAGGAATGCAATTTTGTCTCTTTGAAATGCGTGAATTAACTCTTCATCACACCTAATGGGAAATCTTTCACCATCAGCCTTGAAACTGTGTCTATTTAAAAAAATGCCAAAAAAGAAGAAAGAAAAAGTTGGTTGTAGAAAGAGAAATCTGGTGTACATTTTACTTTTTCTGTCTGTGGAAAAACAGGCAGAAAGGAAATATGAGAGGCACCGATACTCTGGGACAATCTGTGTTCTTCTTTACAGTATTCTGTTCCCTGAAATATTTGACACATTTTAATTCCTCTTTTCGATTCTGATTTAAGGAGGAATCCGTCATTTGCCACCAATTTTATTGGTGACAAAATCCCTTCTCTTCCAATTCTTTCTTTCTCAAGAAGTTATGCGAAAGTTAATTATCAAATCAAATCTTTATTAGGAAGTGTAATGAGTAATTTTATTGCACAGAATTAGAAAGTCCTACATATGAATGAGTTCTGCCTATAACAACTCACAAGAAACCTGTCATATAACTTTGCTGGTTCCAAGGTTCATGTGATGACCTGTAGTCTCTCAAAATAACCCAAAACCCAAAACATACATTAAAGTCCGGTAAGACCTTCAACTTAACTTCACTGTTTTATTAGGAACAGTTTAAAGTCACAAAAGTAAATAATGAGGCAAAAAGAAAACCAAAACAAACCTCATTGACAAGAGTTCCGAAGCAAGCCAAGACAACTAATCATAAACTCCAGGAAAATAACCGAGGAGAGTCCATGGGAAGAATGCCAGAAAAGATAAACCTCTTTCAAAGTAAACACTAAACTTTGACTCCAGCAATTCTGACTGCGCAGTTACAAACTTATATGCATAGCTCCCAGCTGCAAGCCACAAGGAGGATCATGGTAATCTCCTCTTGAGTAGACTTCACTTTTCCCTGATCCTCTCCTCCCTGCGTGACCTAGGATGGATAGGGGATGGGCCTGGATCCTCCTCTGACTGCTCAGCCGGCCTCTGCCCTTCCCCAGCCTCCTCCACCACCTCTGGAGCCACACTCCCACTCCCTGTTGGCTGTTCCTCCTCTTCCTCAGAGACAGTCTCCACCAGGGGCATGACAGTTCAGCTCTGGACCTACCACATTTTCAAGTCACTTTGTTCTGGGTTACTCTTTCCTTAGCCTTGAATCGATTGTCCACCTATCACTTGTGTTACAAACAGTTCTGTCTAATGTAAGAGTCAGATTTCCCAGCTCATCGACTGTTCCTTATTGAATTTTCTGTGTCCTTCAGAAACTTTATCAGATCCCATTTTATAGCACTGATTGGGGATGAAGTTCTACCTGCCAAGGTAAATTATCATGGCACTGAAGAATACATGGCTCAGGTAAATCAGGCATCCTGGAGAAAAATTAAAAAGCAATCTCAGTGAGATGGTGTCCAGCTGCTGTGCCTACTGAATAAGGGAAAAGCACAAATCTAAAGGATGGATTTCAGAAAGGGTACACTGAATTTTTTCCTGAGGGGAACCCCTCCAAATTGTGGCTTAGAATGATCCCCAAAGCACTGAGGGACACAATGTGGAAGAGACAAATTAAATTCCAGTGGCCCCATGGACTGAATTTCTCTGCCTGCTTTCGAAATGGATCTCAACCAATGGCTAAACTCCTTTGGTTTTCCTTGCATGCGTCAGAATAAGGAAGTCTTGAAAGCAGAATTTGACTCAATGGGTTGAGGGAATGGGGGGATATTTGGAGAATAGCTTGACTGCCCTCTGTATGGCAATCCCCTCAAATATTTAAACATGCCCTGGTCACTTTCCATCTTGATTATTGCAATGCGCTCTACATGGGGCTGCCCTTGAAAAGCATCTGGAAGCTCCAGTTGGTGCAAAATGCAACAGCCTGCATGGTTTTGTGCAGACCCCGGTGTGCACATGTATCACCTCTCCTGCAGGAGCTGCATTGGTTGCTGATTTACTTCCGGGTGCAATTCAAGGTGCTGGTTGTCATCTTTAAAGCCCTTCATGGCTTGGGACTGGGTTATCTGAGGAAACATCTCTTGCCAGTGACATCTACCTGACCCATTAGAGTGAGGAGGCAGGGAATGTTACGGGTACCACCCTTGAGGGAGATACACCTGGTGGGACCCAGAAGAAGGGCCTTCTCCATGGTGGCTCTGTCTCTCCGGAACATCATTCCCCCAGAGATTAGAATGGGCCCCTCTTAGAATGGTCACTGAAGACCTGGTTTTGCCAGCAGGCCTGGGGAACCCAGAGAGGGATGGAACCCATCAAATGGCAAACGTGATCTGCTGTCATTGGGGTGGGGAGGGGGTGGGAGTTGGGGTTTTTTTGTTTTGTTTTTTGTTTTCCCAAATTTTGTTCTATTGTACTAATTTTACTAAAAAAAAAAAAATGTTTAATTTTTTTTACCTTAATAATACTTTTTGTTAATTTTTATTGTTTTTATTTTTATTTTTTGTTTTAAATATGATTTTACATTGTGTAAGCGGCCTTGAGTCGCCATGGGTGAATAGGCGGCAATATAAATCAAATAAATAAATAAAATAAATAAAATATTTCCTTCCACCAATCCCACTATATGCACCTTTCTGCACCACCAGAAGTAATTTTATTGCCTTGTCACCTTACTGGAAAAATAACCAGAATGAGCTTTTCCGATGTCCCAAAGGTACTTTTCAAAAGGCAACTGGACTTTCCCTTTTCCCCCCTTGAAGACATTTTTCTTCTCATCCAAGAAGCTTCTTCAGTTCAGAATGAAGAAGCTTGTTGGGTGAGAAATGACATATCTTCAAGGACAAAAACAACAACGAAAGTCTAGTTGCCTTTTGGGACCTTTGGGACAACCATGACCTGGTTGACTGAGAATCTCCACAGAATTTTTTCTATGTTTTTCCCCCAAAGCCTGTACACTCTACCCTCTTTTTAAAATCATACCTTCTTGGTTTTGAAGGCAGGCAGGAAAGCCACTTAGTGGTGTTTTTTTCTCTTCCCTTTCCATTCAGAAATCACTACCGAAACTATGGCCCAGCAGCGGCAGAAGGTCCTTGTGGGAAGTCATGCTATACTCTCACCTTCAGCCTCGTTTTCCCTCACCAAGAAGATGTTTGCTACCTGGCCTACCATTACCCATACACCTACTCTACCATGATGGTAATGCTGTTGTTCTAGAGTTTGAAGGAAAGGACTCATGATGTTAAGCTATTTGGCTTAATGTGTCATGCAAACCTAGTTATGCACTGCATAGCAGCTGGGTTCTAGCTAGTCTGTAAATGGAAGGTTAAGGCTCTCTCCAGTTGATTTTAGTTGTTGGTAATTTCATGAGTACTTCTATATAGTTTTGTGGGCAATCAGATTTAAGTGGTTTGCTATAGATTTGACTGTGTTTTGCTTCCCAGGTTTAACCTATACCCCTAATATTATCAAGTAATCTCCCATTTAATACAAGTCAGGTATCATTTTTTTTTGCTTTGCTGCCATCTATTGTTGGCAAGTAATTTGTAGCCTAATTGTAATAATGGCCTAGTAGCACAGAGATTAAAATGCAGTATTGCAGGCTAACTCTGCTCACTGCCAGGAGTTCGATCCTGACTGGCTCAAGGTTGACTCAGCCTTCCATCCTACTGAGGTTAGTAAAATGAGGACCCAGATTGTTGGGGGCAATATGCTGACTCTGTAAACTGCTTAGAGAGGGCTCTAAAACACTGTGGAGTATTATATATAAGTATATAAGTCCAAGTGCTATTGCTATTACTATCACTTCTTGCATGGTTGGGAAGTTCATGCAAAATCAGGGCCTTCTTTCTAGGGTCAGATAACATAATTTCCAGGGTCAGATAACATATTTAGAGTGCATTTGTATCTGGCTGGGCAGTTGCAGAGGTGATCAATGTGAAATCAATGTATTCAGTATGCAAATTGCATCCCAGAATTTGCAAGAAGGATTAAGAGAGGCCCCTAGTCTAAAGTCCTAGAGAAATACAGCTCATTAATTCAGATAATATTAATGCCTATCCAACAAAAACTCTAATGACATCATGGGAAGAGCGAGGTTGAGGGTCAGGAGGATATTTCTTGATTTAATAGCCAGCCAGTCAAGACTGCAGATGTCCAATTTATTCAGCAAGATTTGGCTATTTGGGTATACCAGTGGATGAGAAATAGTTAAAAGAAAGAGAAGAGTAAGAGGGCCTGTTGTGTAAACGCTGCTTCATAAATTAACAACAAAGGAATTTTTGCTTTACATTGCTTTTTTTTTAAAAAAAGGAAAGAATGCTTCTGAAGTTAGAAGGAGCTTTAGCTTAATTTTAGATTATGCCTCCAATGAATACAAGATTCAGTTTTGCTCTACTGAGATACAGAGAAACATTCATTTCCTGACATTGCCTGAATCATAATTTCAATGGATATCTCTGTAGAGATAACTTTGACCGGGGTCACTTAAATAACTCACAGATTTGTATTACCCCTGCAAAGCGATTTTTAAAAATCCAGTAAAAAACAATTTCATTTTTACAGACTGCATGATTCCCACCCACCCCAAAAGAAAAACAAATTTCACACATGTGTTTCACTAGGTTTTCTTTCTCAGCCTCTGATTGTACAAGTGTGTGTGTGTGTGTGTGTGTGTGTGTGTGTGTAGGTGTGTGTAGGTGTCGTGGGTGCATCTTCCCCCTTTTTGTCTTCAGAGCAATAATGAATTCTAAGTGTTTTTGCAACTCAGGAACTCAATTACCTGCACTAGGCATTTGGAAAGGCAATAAAATTCCATATGGAAACTGACTTGGAAACTCTTCACAATCTAATATGCATTTAATAACGGCAGACATATTTACAGCACCCTGAGAAGAAACCGCATGAAAGACTGGCATTGAATCATACCATTTCTTTGAGTCAGAAACCAACTGGTTTTTTCTTCAGGATGATAACTTCAAATAACTGCTGATACATCCTTGCTTGCCCATGCAAGCTGAAAGCTCCATATTTTCATTAAACAACAACAGTGCAGAAGGACAGACCTTTGATTCAGTCTAATCCAATATTTTTTAACTACGACTGGTAATACCAAGTATTTCAGGCAGATTTGTGTTTGTTTTTTCCCTGATTTTTTTTTTTCATATTGAAGATGACAGAGACTGAACCAAAGATTTTCCTACATGCAAAAACATTTCTTCTACTTTCAAGGTGGTCAAGGTCAAGGAGGTGCACCAAGAGAAAGCCAGAAGCAAAGAATGACCCAAAGGAACAGAACTAATAAAATCATTTATCCGCTCACTCCTGCAACTACAGTGAATAGGTAGTTTAAGTGACTCTCAGCCTGGGTTTTAGGGCAGGAAGACACTAGAGGTAGATGAAATTGCTATGATTCACAATCCCCACATTGTGATACAATGTGCAGGTTATTCAACTGTCATTGGTTTTGCTTCTTTTCAGCAGGATCTGTGAAGATTGGGTGATGAGAGATACAGAGTATGTTACCAAAAAAAAAAAGAAGAAGAAGAAGAAGAAGAATATTTGTAGCTCAGGGTTCAAACAAGAAGTCCTTGGTGTTCTCTGAGCTGGGTTGTTTTCTTGGCAGATGTTTCCTTACCTAAACTAGGTGACATCATCAATGAATGAATGAATGAATTCTTTATTGGCCAAGTGTGATTAACTTGGCTTCATATGCTCTTGGTGTACATAAAAAGAAAAGATACATTTGTCAAGAATGCTAATAAGAAGTGATTCCTCTAATGACGTTGGCTAGTTTGGATAATGAAATGTCTGCAAGGAAACAACAAAGAGAATAAAATAGAATGTAGAATAGAATAGAATGAGCTGGAAGGGACCTTGGAGGTCTTCTACTCCAGCCCCCTGTTCAAGCAGGAGCATCAAAGACCCCTCAGAGTAGACGTTGTCTTTCTTTCTGCAGCCTCTGATGCTCAGGTACCACTTGGCTTGTCAACCTGTCTGTAATCCAGGAGTGTGGATAGTACAATTGAAGCATGTCTACTAAGATGGTAGCAGTCTGGTTAGAAGATTTGGGCCGTTGTAGTTCAACATCTGTGCATTGTTAAGACAGGCTGATAGTGAAAACCTGACTTAGGTAGCTGTATTCCATGATTCATCAGCAAGCAGTCAAGAAACCTCTAAATAAGAAAATACAGTAGTTTGTATAATTGTTTATGGTGTGTTCCCATTATTCAAGCTCATTTTCTTGCTTCCTATTCTCATAATGTTGAAATTAGGGGTCACACAAGGAAATTGTTCACAAACAAGAATAGGAGAAAGAGAGAGAGGGAGGGAGGGAAGGGAAGGGAAGTTAGTTAGTTAGTTGTCCTCAATTTGCTTGTGTCATTGGCCTCAATGAGAAGTCTGCCCATGGATCTGAGTCTTCCAGTTGCATATCTTTAAAAGGTGTTGGATTAGATAGTTTCTCCCAGCAGGACATTTTGTAAATTATTACATTTTCATGTTTCCATTTTTACAGTCTCACCTTGACATCTTGCAGCAAACCAGGAATACAAAGAAAATCTTCTTCAAGAGGCAAATCCTTTGCTACACTCTAGCGGGAAATGCGTGCCCACTGCTTACCATCACTGCCATGCCTCAATCGGAAAGCAGGAATGACCTGGAGCAGTTCCGTAAGTCACTTCTTTCATTTGGTTCTTTCTTGACCCCCTCTAGATCTCGAGTTACCTACATCTGAATGTCATAAATGGCATCCAGTAAAACCATGAGCTGGGTTGACATGGCTCATCCATTTTCATTGCTGTTGAGAAAAGCTCATTTTTGAGAGAATTCTTGAATATGTGCTTGCAGAAAGGGAAAGGTGTGGATCTGATTCATACTTTCCATGACAGAGTTATCTGGATTGATTGTCGTTCAGTATTCTGCATGAACCTAGCTATTGTGGTTTGTGACTTAAACCGGAACTATGTAGTTCCAGTTTATTCAACAGCCATGTTAAACAGTGGTGGCTAAAACTATCAAATAAGTCATTGGTTCGCCTCCTGGTGTGAAAGATCTATATGAAGGACAGTTATTTCAGGAACAAATATCCATTCAGCAGCTGTCACTATATAGTTAAATATAATTCAATGTAAGGTATGCATAGTTTTGTTGCAATAATGCAGACTACTTGTTTTTATTGGGCAATATGGGACAAAAATAAAAGACCATGTCATGTTCAGACTTGCATTGGAGCAAGACTTCATAAGTATCTCCTTTTAAAAATAGTTTTTATTCAATATTGAAAAAAAGAAAAAAAAAAGAAGATACCATCAAACACGGTAGCTTCAGAAAGAATTATCTACATTTTTGTTTCATTGAAGCAACACAGAGAATTACAGCTTTTGGAACCTTTGATTTATTTGCTTTGACTTTGTAGATGTTCTCTAATTTACAGAACAAGGAAATTGTTATGAAAGGTTTCTTTTGTATGTTTCAAAATTATAAATGCGGCTCAGATTTGCAAAAATGCAATAGAGGTAGAAAGAAAGGTCTTGTTGATAGAAGAAGGAGTGGAAATGTTTTCAGATTAGTCTTTGCTACTTGACAATTGGCCATGTGGACACCAGCTGGTATCTGGTACAGGAGAAGTAGAGGTGCTGCTAGCAATTCTGTTTTTATTATTATTATTGATCCATCTTCAACCCTTTCAGCTCCTAATGAATGGTGTGATTCTTTTTTCTTTCTGGGATTACATCTTTTCATATTTTATTTTAGAGTTAAGCTTGGATTCACTCATTGTGTTAAATATGATTTGGGTTTCACATAATCTATGAACATAATCTATTTTGGCTTATAACCCTGATTCATACTTTGGATTTCACATAATCTATGAACATAATCTATTTTGGCTTATAACCCTGATTCATACTTTAGCATGCTATGCAAATTTAGCCAATTAAGATTTATTCAGTAAATTGTGTTGAACACCCTGGTTTAACATGATATGTGAACTCAGCCTGATATTGCTTCCTTAGAGAATTCTTTGCATAGATACACAATATTTATAGATAACCAAGCTGGGAAATAATTTAATTTTTCAGCTTTTATAAATGGATTGCTTGCCTATATCTATATGTTTCTTAAGGCACATTGGTTGTGAATTCATGAGACTATTATCCTCATTGCTGAGGATAATAGGTTTTGGAGTACAGGCAAGAAGTGATATGGGGGGGGGCATTTCTAAATCCCATATGGCATTAATACCAATGCATATCTGACTTCTATAATATGGTTAGACAAAAAAAAAAAAAGCAGCTATCATGGAGTCATGATATAGCAGTAGCAATAGCACCTACCGTATTTGCCGGCGTATAAGACGACTTTTTTGCCCTAAAAAACATGCCTCCAAGTGGGGGGGGTCGTCTTATACGCCGGTAAATACATTGTCACTCGGTGCAAGAGCGACGGGGGCGGAGCTCCGCAACTTGCGAAGCCCCTTCAAGCCCAGCCGAAGTCTCTCTTCCTCCTCCTCCTCCCACCCACCCACCCACCCTCCGCCTGGCTCGGGGCGCTTGCGGAGGCCAATCTGGAGGTGGGGTGGGGGTGGAGCGGGAGGGTCTCTGGCGGGGCCGCTTCGCCCAGCCAGCCCCGAGCCGCGTAATGGCCCGGGGAGTGGGGGGGGGAGAAGGTGGTGGGGGTGGACTGTGGCGCCCCTCCTTCTGGGCAGCGGGGCGGGGGCGGCAATTTGCTCCTCCCGCTTCTCCCTCCCTCTTTGAAAGACCGGGAGGGCTGTGCTTGGGGCGGGGGGGGGTGTCCTCAGGAAGTTCCTGATGGGACCCCGCTGGGCAGGGCCACCCGGCTCCCGAGCTGCTTTCCAGGGTCCCCTTGGGAAGAAAAGGGTCCGGTGGGCGGTGGAAGAAGGCGAGCGCCCTCCTCCCGCCCCCTGTCCCGTCCCGTCCCTCCTCTTGTCCCCTCCTCCCCTCCCCGCTTAAGAGAGAAAGATCTGCCTCCCCTGCACCGAGCTTCCACCCGGCGCCGCGTCTCCCGGCCAGCGGGCGCTTGCGACTTGGGAACCGGCCAAGCGACTTTAAAACCGAGCGGAGGCCAGAGATAGCCGGAATTACCCTCCACACCACACACACACACAGAGAGAGAGAGAGAGAGAGAGAGAGTTGGCAGCTGTCCATCCCCCACCCTTGGAGTCCCGATGGCACGCACGCGGGGGCTGTCACAAAGAAAGGGAGAGGAATTGAGTGCCAGCCTGAGAAAGGCGAAGCTGCCTCTCTAAAGCATTTTGGTGGCTTTGTAAGTTTGGGGGAAAGGGGTTGGGGGTGTCAATCAAGAATTATATCCAGAATACCCCAAGTGTTACAACTTACCGTATTTGCCGGCGTATGAGACGACTTTTTTGCCTTGAAAAGCATGCCTCCAAGTGGGGGGGTCGTCTTATACTGCGAGTATATAACAAAAACTATATTTTGAGTGGAAATGTTGGGGGCTCGTCTTATACGCCCAGTCGTCTTATACGCCGGCAAATACGGTATATACTATTTCACAGTGCTTTGCAGCCCTCTCTCAGCATTTTATCAGCCTATTGTGCCCAAAAATCTGGGTCCTCATTTTACTCACCTCAGAAGGATGGGAGGCTGAGTCCAACTTGAGCCTGGTGGGACTCGAACTACTGGCAGCTGGCAGTCAGCAGAAGTAGCCTGCTGTACTCCATTCTAACCATTGCACCATCTCAGCTCTACAAATTTATTTAATAATAAATAAATAAATGAAACTTTTTTCATCCTGGGATGAAGGTGAAAGTGGCGTCTCTTGTGTACACAAACTAGCTGAACATTTTATTTCAATATATGAGACAACATCCTGTTCCACCTATGGGAGAAGAGAGGTTATTGGATAAGCAACATGATTTTCAAGCTCTGACATCCAGTTTTTTTGCTCACCCAAATAGAGGGAAGTGAAAAGTTTAAAGAATAAAAGGCAACACAGGAAACTGTGATGGAATATGGTAGAGATCAGAATGGTTTGCAAAGATACAAACGCATGGGGAAGTATAGTGCCTAAAGCAAATGTAAACTACATTTTAAAATGGTTTTTCCGCCCATTGTATCTTGTAAACTGCCCAAACTTATAAAGAGGATAAGTAACTTCTAAATGGATAAATAATTTGAGTATCAGAGAGAGCATTCAGGCAGGCCAAACATGTTTCCCAGAGAACAAGTCAGAAGGTGATCTCATAGGACAAGAAACCTCAATGAAGCTACAGGATCTGGGTTTCAGAAGTTGGTGGAAAATTGCCTCTAGCTGATGAGTTTCTTGGTGTTAATAACTAAGGCTGAGGTCCCTCAAAGCTCTGTCTAACTTGCTTTCCTCTATGGTCTGGGAGAATTAAACTATTATTTTTCTTATGCCACAGAACTGTTTAAAATATCTAAAGTGTCCCTGGTTGAAAGACCTATCTCAGCTTACCTATACTTATACTTTCAAGACATTTTGAAACAGGCATTGCAGTTCATCAAGACTTGAGTCTATGGAGATTCTCAATCACCCAGGTCAAGGTTGTCCCGAAGATGCTTTTCCAAAAGGCATCTGGACTTTCTTGATTCTTTTTCCTTGAAAACATTTCACTTCTCATCCAAAAAGCTTCTTGGATGAGAAGTGAAACATTTTCAAGGAAAAAAACAAGGAAAAAACCAAGTTGTCTTTTGGAAAAGCACCTTTGGATCAGCAAAACACACAGTAGATTAACTGGAGTTTCTCCAGTGGTATACAGACCAAGCTGCTTGGGCTCTGTTACTAGATGTCCTAGATTGGACCTGCCATTGGTGTCCTGGTGGCTTAAAACATCCATTTCTGCTTGAGTTTGCCTATTGTTCTACTTAGCTTCTGCAATAATTGGTTATTCCTTATCACCAACAGAACACAGGCAAGAGAAGAAACAAACCACTCTAATGTTCAACTCTTATGAACAAACCTATCAAGGAGTGTATGTTTTATACATCCCAGCACCACAGCCCTTTTCTAATTCTAGAGATATGGATCAATTCTCACAAGCTACCTGAGCCTGCTTATTAAAATGTCATTCTGTTTCTAGAAACAGAAGAAGAGCCCTCTTAGAATTAATTGAGCTTGGTCTCTCAAATGTTCTTGTGATGACTAGGCTTCCCAGAAAGTCAATTTGGTCATTCCATTCCGCATCCATTATCTTATGCCCCCTCTTCAATGGCCCATTTTGGGACCTAGAAGTCAAGCAAATGTCTGTGAGGGGCTCTTGCTTATAAACAAAAATAGAGATCCTACCCAGAACTATTTTGTTATGAAAAGTGTAACGCTTTATTATGCATTGTGCTCAGGCTGCATCTTATAGAAACTGCACCGATGGGAGAAATTAAACTGTCACTGAGCCAAACACTTAATGATCATGTTAGAAAAAAAAATGAATGGTTGCTGTGTAGCCTGTTGAGTTTAAAAACTGTGAGGTAATTCATCTGCATTTCATAAAGGCTACTGGCGGTGCCAAAAGCTTCTATGTGTACCTTTTCATGTATGTATAAGTGTGCATGTGTGTACACTATGTGTTTAGATACAAACAATTAGATTCAATTGTAAAAGATTCAAGTCAGTTACTTTATTGATTTCTGTCTACATTACAAGAATCTCCACAGACTGCCTTCCCTTGGAG